GGCCACATAAACCCAATTCAATGTGAGTGCTCGACATTATAGCTTAGTTGAGATTATGAGCAGGGTCATATAAATTAGTTAATAAATTATTATATTAAGTGTTTGTTATAAATAAAATGATTTGTAACGAAATGTGTGTTTTTGAAAAAATAAAATATTATATTTTTAAGGAAGTTTCGTAATATTTAGGGATAAAAAATTATTATTATTATTTGATTCAGTGTTTAGTGATTATCGTATTATTTATAAACAATTGCCTATCAAATGACAGTTTATTTGGCACTTTTGTATTTGACTTATTTTTTGTTTAACAAATATCCTTGCTTAATTTTTACGCTATATTTTTACTGTACTAATACACACAAATTACCCGGATACGATACGATAAAATGATAGTATTGTACAAATCAAGCATAATGTTTTAAAATACAGAATCGGTTTACTGTTAGTAAGCGTCTGATATGTTAGGTTAGGTTTAGAAAGTTTTATGAAAATCTCATACTTTATTATTTATATTAATATTCTGAATGTATATTAACACAAACTGTAATTGAATGCATATTTTAATTAATCGAGTTTATGGGGTAGTGGATGCCATCTATTGTCCATATCTGGCTATAAAAGTATAAAATTGATTCAATTTAATTCAATTTAATTGAATATACATTATGTACTCTTATATACTATTAATATTAATATTATGTATTATAGATGGCATTCATTTCCTCATTAACTCATTTAATCAAATGTGTATTCAATTACAGTTTCTGAACTACTGTATTAAATAATTTGTATGACTGAATGACTGAATATGAGATTTTCCTAAAACTATCCAAACCTAACCTAATACAGTATGCTTAACCTATTACCGTATTAATATGGAATATTTAAAATAAATTCAATGAGAAAGTCTTATTATATTTTCAGAGGAGTTTATTTTTTTATAAAGTAATGTTAAGTATAGTTAATGAGTGATTCATAATAAATATTCATTGATATTTTAGTTTACTTTTAATTTGATTTAATACTTTAATACATTATATACTGTAAATACTAACTTAGCATTAGATTAAAGAAATCAATTTTAAATGCAACAAATAATTAAAATTTTATTTTTAAAGAATAATTCATAATAAGGACTAAAATTACATGAATTTTTTCGTAAAACAAATTCAATTCATATCTTTACCGGTATTAACAAAATATAAAACTATAATTTTGATAATTAAACATATCTTGGTAACTTTAAATTATTTTTTGCTACATTTAGTCAAATCCATGGCTATATTATCGACACCATTATTGTCATCCATTTCACTCTCATCTGAATTATAGTCATTAGGGATCAGCTTTTCAGTACTTTCAGACATACCTATAAAACCATAAAAATAAAGTAATTATAAAAATTAGTAGGACAGGTAGTCTAACTTTTTTGGCTATAAAAGAGGTGCGGGAATGGCATCCCAGTGCCGCCGAACACATTCTTGTGGAACAGCTGTTTGACGAGACACTTGAGCCGATAGTTTTCATCGGCCAGTAGTGAGAGCTCGGACTCCAAATGTATGACATATTCGGCACTTCTCAGCAAAACCGTGGCTTTACTTAACTTTTCGATGTCTTTGTGTCTGAGTATCCGCCGCAACGCCTGTATGCCATCGTTGATACTCTGCATCCGTTTCCGCTCGTGATTGTTGGCCACGTCTCGTCGACTCCGGGACTCCCTGTCCAACAGTTTTTTAGGCCGACCCACGCATCGCACCAGCGGTTGAGGTATAAGTGATTTGGGATTGAAGTCCATTCGTTTGCATAGACTTTAGGAATAGCTATAAAAATAAATGGTTTATCATATAAATTAACTAGATCATAACATATACAAATTTATTTATTAAGATTATACTTTGTTTCCTGAATTAATGGTAAGTTATATGTTCAGGGATTGTTTCTAATGTTGAGAGTAAGTCTGAACTTCTTAAAGGCAAATATGAAATTCAAATTAGGCATCAATATTAAATGGTAATGGTATCAAAATTATTCACAGTTACCTTGATGTGCGTAAAAATGATTATTTTTTGTGTAATTTATCCCTAATTATAATAAAACATTAAAATAGGCGCAATTTTCCTGATAATACATTTTACTGATTAGAAATTAATTAATGTTTTGGTTTTTTCGGACAATTTTGAAAATAGAAAAACTGAAACACAATTGAAACTAATATATCAAATATTTTTGACAACCTCTTGTGGTTAAGTGTGCGTACACTTGATTGTTAAAAACTACATTTTCCTCATTAATACGATAAACAATTAATTAAATGAAAAATATAATTTAAAAGTTAAATAATTATTGCTAACGGTAAATTAATGATTTATGTTTTGCTAATTAGATTAATTAAAAATTAGACGAAAGGAACTATATATTCAATAAAATAATTTATTAAATGTGTATAGTTTTTAATGATATTTTTATTATGTTACTAGTGTTATTAATACAAATAGATTATTTAAAATAACTATTAATTTAAATTAAATAGCTATTTATTGTGATATTAGTTAGTAGATAGAACTGGTCAAAAATATCTGATGGCAACTTTGAGTACATTAAAAAATTCAATTACCATGTTAAATATATGGGCAATAATTTTGGATTACATGATATTACCGATATTTATGCACCCCTAAACAAAAATATAATTTTTTAATTAAATTAATTGACCAAAATATTCGTCCAAAATACTAATTATAATAAGATGTTTATAATCATGTTTATAATTAGTTTTTAAGAAGTTTTTTGAATAAACACTAAAAATTAAGTAATTAAATGAAATGCTACTAAATTTAAAACTAAATGATCTAATTATTTTTAACCAGAGTACATTGGGTGTAATTTAGTACATTAGTACCTTTATCTTATATAATTAAAAAAGAATGTCAAATTAATTAAATATAATTTAAAACATTTAGTTAATAATCTAAATCTCAACATATCAATGTGCACAAATTGACCACATTTTTCAAAACTTATAATCTATACAATGAATTTGGATTCAATAATATATTTTATGCACCAGTATTGGATCGATACTACCGATGAACGTCTTAAGGGTTATGCTCTTATGGGTGGTGGACCTGGATTATTTTTATTAATAATGATATCCTGGCTAATATTTGTCACTAAATTGGGTCCATATCTCATGAGAGATCGTAAACCATTTGCATTGCAAGAAATACTGATCGCATATAACTTAGTATTAGTCGTATTGAACGCATACTTCATATACGCTTCACTCAAATGGTTAGAGTTTGGCCGCAAGTCATGGAACCCAAGACTACCCCCGAGTAACCAATGGTCCGATAAAGCCATCGCAGAAATACCCGAAAAGACTGTTTACTGTTACTCGAAATTATTTGATTTATTTGAGACCATATTCTTTGTGTTGAGAAAAAAGTCAAATCAGATCTCATTTCTTCACGTCTATCACCACTTTATGGGTAATGTGTTACTAATCTTTTTTAATATTTTTAACAATAAGTATGTAAATTGTAAAATTAATAACAATTTAAATTTTCAATCAACAGTTCCGGTTTTGGGCTGGTTAGCCGGTAAACAGTGTCCGCAAACAGTGATTGGGGAAGTGTTTTGTTTGTTTAACTCTATTGTCCATACAGTCATGTATTTGTATTACTTATTGTCGGCATTTGGACCCCAAATACAGCCCTATTTATGGTGGAAGCGATATATCACACGATTGCAGTTAATACAGTTCGCTATACT